TAAATGCACCACTCGACTTCGCATCGGGGATTCTAGCTTCGTGGTCACTTTCGTCCTGTTGCCAGACTGCTGTAAAGAGTTAATTTTGGGCATGGATTTTCTTCAAGATCATGGCGCTGTTATCAACATCCCTCAACGTATGGTGACGTTTTGCGCACATACGTATGCCGACAACAGCAGCGAAGAACCACGCGGCCATTTGCGAATAGCCGACAATATGACACTCCCACCGAGATCCTGCTGCCTTGTGTCGGTGTCGAGTGGGTGTCCTTGCTATAAAGATGTGATAGCGGAGCACATAGTTGCTCTTTTGTTCACGCAAAGCATTTCCATCGCGAGGGGCGTCCTGGCGCTTACTGGTGGACAGACAGAAGTGCTCATCAGAAACTTCAGCAACGAGCGCCGTCAAATCGAGAAGGGTACCGCAATTGCCTACTATGACGATGTAGACCAAGCCGGGGATTGTTTTGCCTTGCAACCAAATGCCGCGGCTGTCCCCGCCTCGACAACTTTGTCGGTGGACATCTGCTCTACGCTACCACCCTCTGATAGGAAGCGCCTGCTTGAACTTATACACCAATTCGAAGACTGCTTTTCGCGTACGGCAAACACCATTTGCCAAGCACAGCATCATTATTGATGACAACACGCGACCTATTTGGCAGAACCCTTACCATGTGGCTCCGAAAGAGCGCGAGGAGATTCAGAAGCAAGTACAGAAGATGCTCGCGGATGACGTCATACAACTGTCACACCTGTCCCGTTATTAGGGAGGCGATCGCCGGGCTAGTTCCAAGAGCCGAAGTATCGGCCCCCCGAACCGCACCACGAAAGCGTGGACAATTTAGAAGTGGTCCTTATTGGTGCGCCAGCGGACGCCGGCTGTGGCCCAAAGAACAAGTCAGAGCCGAGAGTTGATAACCAAAACAAATATTATATTCTCAAAAAATGGCAGCTCGAAAACAATACACAAAAATGCCCACTCCACAATAGTTACATACAATATGTCACCAATCAAACTAATCAATCTACGTGCTGCACAATACAATCAGCCACACTCAAAACTACGGACACAGACAACGATACGCACTACAATGCAGTCGCATGCATTGAACAACCAAGACACTTAAGGACTAAAGAGATAGAAAACCTATTCAGTCCAAAGTCCTTGGAACAAAAGTCTGAATGATACTCTTCCGAGAATCACTCACTCAAAGTCCAGCGTTGTTGTCGTTCCGTAGTTCTCGAAGTTTCTCTTCCAGGAAACCTCGCGTCCTCAAATGGCCACTCTCCAAGCTTCAAACTTCTTCGCCGGAAATCCGTCGGCTTCACACACGCAGCTGTTGCCCGCGTCTTCGCTCGATAGCGGTAAACCCACGCTCTTGCCTGTAGCTCGAGCCGTCCCTACGGACCAAAACTTCGCCGACTACACGGCGGAATCTCTACGCACTCTGGCGCTCACTTCCGTCTCCTCCTGTTCTGTCACTACGGGCAGAACCTTCGCCGACTACACGGCGGAATTCCTACGCGCTCTGGCGTTAACTTCCGTCACCTCCTGATTTCTCGTCTCGGCCGCTCGGTTAAATACCTTGCGCGCGACATTCCAGATGTTTCTTGTCGTTCGTCGGCGTGATGCGCAGCGAAGGCTGGGGAGAGGCACGAGACGGTTCGACTGCCCTCTCCGGAGAATGATTCACTCGGTCTGACCCCGCCTCCTTCGTTCTAGAAAAATCGCGGCCTTGCTGGGCCGCCGATGTGGGGTGAAGAGGATCGTCTGCGAAGCCGTGCTTCTGCGGGGAGAGCGCGCGCCCGGGAGCCCTGGATGTTTGCTTTCTTTTTTTTTCTTTTTACCTCGCGGCGTTTCTGCCGCCCGTTGTCGCAAGTATTTGGCGGCGCGCTCTTGTTTAGCGCTCGTTCTGTGACAACAACCTTCGAAAAGTCTTTCGGCATCCCCTGTGGTTTTGGTCAAGAAAAAAGACGGCAGCTTGCGCTTCTGTATTGATTATCGCAAGTTGAACCAAGTCACGAAGCAAGACGTCTATCCGCTGCCCGCATAGACGACTCACTCGATCGGCTGCGTCATGCGCGCTATTTCTCTTCAATGGACCTCCGAAGCGGCTACTGGCAGATAGAAGTCGACGAGAAAGATCGTGAAAAAACGGCCTTCGTGGCGCCCGATGGCCTATACAAATTTAAGGTGCTTCCTTTTGGGTTGTGCTCGGCGCCAGCCACTTTTCAGCGTCTCATGGACACCGTACTATCAGGCCTGAAGTGGCAAACATGCTTGGTCTATCTGGACGATGTTATTGTATTCTCAGCAACATTCGAGGAACATCTCAGCCGTTTATTCACCGTCCTCCAAGCCATACGTTCGGCCGGCCTTACTTTAAAACTGGAAAAATGTCATTTTGGTTTTAACGAACTCACTTTCCTAAGCCACGTCGTCAGTCACGAGGGTGTTCGGCCTGATCCGGCCAAAATAGACGCCGTAGCGCAATTTCCTTCACCACGCGACAAAAAGTCCATGAGACGCTTCTTAGGGTTGTGCGCCTATTACCGGCGATTTATCGACGACTTTTCGTCTATTGCGACGCCATTGACACGACTCACACGTAAGGACGTCCCCTTCTTTTGGGGTGAACAACAGCAAATGGCATTCAATGAACTACTAGAACGCCTCCAAACACCTCCAGTCCTCGCGCACTTCGACCAGGAAGCCCCTACAGCACTTCACACTGACGCCAGCCATGTAGGTCTGGGTGCCGTTCTGTTGCAGTGGCAAGGCGGCTGTAAAATAGTAATAGCCTACACCAGCAGAACTCTCTCGCACGGAGGAGAATTACTCGACTACCGAGAAGGAGTGTCTCGCCATGGTGTGGGTGGTCATCAAATTTCGTCCATATTTGTACGGCCGCCTCTTCAAGGTTGTTAGCGACCATCACTCTTTGTGCTGGCTCATCAACCTTAAAGATCCATCTGGCCATTTGGCGCGCTGGAGCCTAAGGCCTCAAGAGTTCGACATGACCATCGTCTATAAATCTGGGAAGCGACACACCGACACCGACTGTCTCTCACGGTTGCCAGTGAAGACTGTCGCTCGTGATGACGAAAACATTCATGCGGCATTCTTGGAAGTTGTAAACACGGCCACTATTGCACGGGAGTAGCGCAGTGACCCGGAGCTGTTACCACTCATTGAATATTTAGAAGGACGACGTAAGGACGTGCCGTGGTTATTTTTCAGAGGACTGCCATCTTTTTGCTTGTGAAACGATGTTCTCTATAAGAAAAACTTTTCACCAACCGGTAACCCGAACTTGCTCATTGTGCCTACCTCTCTTCGAAAAGAAATTATGGAAGCGTGCCATGATGAAGCAACTTCTGGTCATCTAGGCTACACCCGAACATTGTGTCGACTACGATGCAAGTACTACTGGCCAAAGTTACCTGCTGCTGCTAACCTTCACGTGCGAACTTGCACCGACTGCCAAAGACGCAAAGCACCTCCGAGCAAGCCAGCCGGTCTTACACACCCAGTCGAAGCACCAGCGAAGCCGTTCACCAAGATTGGAATGGATTTCCTGGGTCTCTTTCCAACTTCCACAACAGAAAACAGATGGATAATCGTGGCCACCGATTACCTCCCCTGTTATGCGGAGACTAAAGCTATGCAGCGCGGCACAGCAGCAGAAGCCGCTCAGTTCTTCATCGAAAACATCGTCCTTCGGCATGGCGCTACGACAGCAGTGATCACAGACAGACGACCTGCCTTCACCGCAAAGCTTTTGGAGTCGGTTCTCAGACTCAGCGGTACAATTCACCGGAGAACAACTGCATACTATCCGCAGACAAACGGACTGACGGAGCGCCTCAATAGGACCCTCACAGACATGATCAGCATGTACGTTGACACGGAACATGAAAACTGGGATCAGATAATGCCGTACGTGACCTTTGCCTATAATACCGCTCGACAAGAAACCACTGGAATGACGCTGTTCAGTCTGATCTAGGGTCGCGAAGTCACGACAACGTTGAACGCCATGTTGCCGCATGAGTGTGACGACATCCATGTAGACGCTGAAGAGTTCACTCAGCGCGCCAAGGAAGCCAGACAGCTCGCGCGTGTGCGCATCTGTCATCAACAGCATCAAGATGCAAAACAGAACGACCACCGACACAAGTTTATTAGCTACACACCAGGCGACAAGGTCTGGGTCTGGATTCCAATACTTTGACGTGGACTGTCAGAAAACCTGCCAAGACGGTACTTTGGCCCATACAGCGTCAAGCGACGCTTGAACGACGTGAACTATGAAATTGTTCCCGACCCAGACTGTAGTTCTAAGCGCCAAAAGCATTTACCCGAAGTCGTGCACATCGTGGGTATGAAACTGTATTTATCGAGTTGACGCGACTATTTCATACGCCTGGTAGAGCGCCTAAGTTGCGCATCGGGACGATGCCTCTTTCGGAGGGAGGCAAATGTCACGTGCTTGTCGAAAAGAACGACAATGGCAGTTGTGCATGTGCCATGAAGTACAATGAAATGGATGAAAAAGAAGAACTCTCTTGCGCGTTCTAATAAACGAACCGACCTGCTTCTGGTGTCTCAATCTCTGCGGCAAGACCTCTGTTTTGACGTCGTGACAATATGAAAGGCTAAAGTGACGTCCCTCTACTGGTCTACGTGCCCGTCGCTATAACCGTTTGCGCACCACTCATGTGTTGCGATTGTGTTGCGAACCAGTGCATACGTTTATCATACGCGCTCAGTGCCAGGGTTTTTAGAAATGATGACACGTGCTGCCTCATGCGCATGCGTCTTGATAGCCACCCTCACGTTATAACGACCAACTGCGACTGTGATTAGGGCGGGCATACGCCAAGGTTACTAGATCGGGCTCTAATCAGTCGGCAACAGGTGCTATGGCGTGCTGCCTGGCTGCAGAAATTTGGCGCTTTCTTTTAACCACTGCCACCACCACTCGTCAGTGGGATCCGCCCACCTAGGGACACGAACGACTGTTAGCGGCCGTGAATGTGTCTGTAAACGTGGCCTCATATTCAATGCCGGCAGCACTGAGTGCTTCCCGAGGAAGGTCCTGTCTGTCAATCACTCGCCGAAACAAAGCGTTTTGTGGTTTAAGCTCAAGAGCGAAGGTTGTGCAAATATGCCAGATGAAAGGAAGACCACCGCCATGATATTGAGCCTTCCTGTCAACGCCAGGGTACGACACCTTGCCAGACTACTGAGATCAGTCGACGAATCAACGAGGGTGTTAGAACTGGACGTCTCAAACTGCGTACAGGCCAATCTCGATCTACTCATGAAGTACGTAGGTGTGCTGTCTCACCTGCGGTTATTGCGTTGCCTCGCTTGCCCAATACCAGCGTCTTACCTGCTGCCGCTGCTGCAGCAACGGCTCACCGAGCTCGAAGAGCTCGATTTCTCGCTCATAATTCCCGACGAGTTTATTGGAAGCGAGGTCGAGAAATTGTCTGCGTCCTCCGGCGAACAGTCGTTACTCCTGGCGTCCAGCCTGCGCCGTGTGTACGTCGAAGTTAGCAGTGACGGGAATATACAGCTTCTCTGGTGGCTGCTTCACTTTTGCCCCTACGTGACCGAACTTCACGTGCACGTTTTGAGCGGACAATTCCAGAAAATATTATTTCACGTAAATGGCATTCTGCTCTCTAATCGCCAGCTAGAGAAATTCACGTTCACCTCCGACATTCCGCCGACGGCTCATCTGCCGCCACGTGAAATGACCGACTTCCACGCACAAGCACTTGTTTGTGCCAATGTCTGTTACTGGAACTTTCTCGATTCTTGCTGTTGCGTCTGGCTTCGCGACAACACGCTCGACACCTCGGGCAAGGAGCTTTCGTCACAGCTTGTCGTCGTATTCACTGATGAAGCCGACGTACCAGCAGAAAGAATCAGCGTGGCCGTTCAAGGACACGTCTGGACGGCTGTGCGCCAACTCTGTCTTGTTCTTCTTCCGCAGCAACCATTCAGTTTTGAGCCCCACCCTATGGCCGGAATGTCGTACCTCAACGGCCTCCGCGAGTTCTTTCTCGTCCTGCAGTACCTCGTCGAGCTGAACGTCCACTCGTTTCACTTTGGCCCGGACGTCGACCTGATGCAGCTACTCGGTGACGCAAACCTCATGTTCTTGAAGGCGCTCTCAGTGGCACCTTGTGGGCTGCACCACTCCCGCGCAGTCTACCGGCTGGCACAGGCCTGTCGGGAGCTCGTCGAGCTGGATGTTCGCGTGATTCAGCGAGGTGCGCATCTCGGATGCACTGTATGCCAGCTCCCACTCCACATCGAGCCCGATGACGTGGCCGAGCTTCACGACGACTTTCCGAGGTCTCGTTGCAGGTTCAGCCGACTGACGCTCAGTGCAGTGCCCAACCTGGCGTCCCTACGTTTCCTAATGAGCTGCAAGGTATAGTCTTCCTTTTTTCTTCACTTTTAATCGTTTATTTGTGCTCGGTGGTTCTTGGCTGAAGCTAAGCTACACTAGAGGAGTCGCACTCTGCTAGTCAAGTTTTACATACTTTACATTCGGTTTACATGGTTGAAATAGTACGGTAGGAGGTCCCAAAGCTTCATAGAAACCGACGGGGGGACCTCCTATGACGACATGAATGGGGTAATTACAAAAAGTACAGTAAATGGTGCGAATTTGTGAGGAAAGGCTAATAAAACTAATTAATAGTAACAATACATAATACATTAATTACATAACATGATGGTAACACTACCAATAAAACTAGACATAAAAATTATCAATAGCAGGGGATAAAACTAGAACAAAGCAAAATGAGAGAACTGTACATAACAAATGCAACGACTTTTTCGTCAGTTGCGTAAGTTGTAGAAAGGCAAATGCTAATATAGAACTAAGACTGAACTGTTGAAAGCTACCAACAGTTAAATACACAAATGAGTTTATTCCATTATTCCTGAAAAAATGTTTTTCGCTACGCGAGGTGGAAATATGAATGTCGTGCAATGATTTTAATTCGAAGGGTAAAGAATTCCTAATTGCTATGCTTGAAAACAAGGTTTTGAACTGGCCGTAGTTCGTTCTTACGGCTGGTAAAAGATTATTGCTCTGGGAAAACCTGGTAATATTGCAGCTAGTTAAATGATGATGATCAATGCATGCAATGACAATACCATGCGTGATGAGCCTATAGGCTACTATGGATAATCTGTGGTGAAATAATTGTCTTAATGATAGTATCTTAAGTGTTAGAAACAATAAACTACAAGAATAAAATGGTATAAAACTCATTAGTCTAACTACTTGATTCTGCAGTCACTGCGGTCGTTCAATGTGCGTGATGTATAGTGTTGGCCCAAAATGATACACAATACGAAATATGACTGTGAATGTAGGCAAAATACAAGGAACGTATGACGTGAGGTAGAAAATACGTACGTGTCCTAATGATAACATTAATTCCGAATGCAATTTTTTAATGAGTGAAGCGGCATGTTTATGAAATTTTAGTTCAGTATCTAAGATGACGCCAAAAAACCGTGCTTCAGGAGAAATATTAGTAGTGTTATTACCATGTTTGGTTTCAACTGCTGAATTGGTTCCTCCCATAACGATTGCGGTTTTTTTTCTGTTTGTTGCTTGAAATTACACTGCGCCACAACTTGTCACGCACCGATTCGTTTCTGTTACTGGTTTTAGATAGAAAACGCGAATGTCCCGACAGTTTAACAGAGTGCTCGACCCAGTACTCAGCCGCAAATATTTCGCGAGTCTTTTTTCAAAAAGCCGAATCCGGACACAGAAACTAGGGCTAACTTCACAGAAACTTGTTAAGCGCGTACTACAGTACTCGGATTGAAACGCGAAAACTGAAGGCTATGTAATGCACGTATACTTTCGTTTACGTTTATGTAGTTCATGTTTTTTGGGCGCAGATCTGACTGGGAACGGTTGGGTCAGAGGTAACGTTACCTTGAACGACATCACTCAATAGCTCGTTAAATTCAGTGTAGCAAAAAAGTCTTGCGTTTAAATCCGAGAGTGCTCTGTTCCAGTCTGACACTTTTAAAAAAATGCAATGGAAATAGTACATAGAGTGGCGGATTTTTACTCGCCCAAGTTTTGGAGAATATGAGCCGGAGCGCTGCTGTTACTGCGTAACATACGCACTGGTGACCACGGTGGTGCACACAGACCTATGGGTGTCCTATTCCTAATCTGTCTAATGGCGCTGCCTCGCTCTGCAATTTGTAACATTCCATCCCATTAGCCAATGTTCTTTCCTTTACACGAAGCATTCCACAAAAATATCCTATAAGTAGAGGTCAAAAGTCAGTTATGCTTGACTTCGTGACAGAATGGAACTTAAAATTGGGCGTTAGGAAATGCACCTCGTGGTGGGCGCGTAGGAGGAACCAAACAATTTTGGGCGACAAGTCAGAACTTAGTGTGGGATTTCTGCGATTTCAGTCGTCTCGGCTGCAGACGATTAGCGTGAACGACAGCGTTGGCGGCACGCTTTGCTTGTCCGCCACCGGAATCAATGACAGAAAAGCAGAACGTTAATAGCATGGTGGCATATCTGTCGATACTGCTTATGGTGTCACTGTATCTCTGCTGCTTACACTGGTTGTGCATGCGTGCCATCATGATTTGAGCATGCGCAAAACTCTATATTCACTGGAGATGCCGCAAGCATTTCGAATATATATATATATATATATATATATATATATATATATATATATATATATATATATATATATATATACCACGTCTTCAAAGTTAAGCTCTATGAATTTTTTTAAATGAGGTGCTCGAAGGCACGTGAGAACCACTTGGGCAAATAAGTGAAGTAGCCAAGGGGAAAGAAAGTTAGATAACTATCCCTGTTAGAACACCAATTATCTCAAATTTAATAATTAAGTTTTTGCTAGCTTCCGTGATTTGGCATGTTTATATTGAAAAAAAATGTAGGCAGTGGTGTTTCAACGCAGTTTCAGTTGGAAGATTTTTCTCTAGAACGCCTGTGCTCCGAGATATCCGGCTCCAAAGTTTTTCTTTCGCATGGTCACGCATGCAAGATAGGGATGTTCCGCGCGAATCTTCTCCCTATAGTGACCCATCTGTTGTGTGCGCTGTTTAGTGTGTGAAGAGGGTGGAAGCGTAGGCATGTGTAACAATTACCATTTCCTTCTCGGCCGGCGAAATCAAATTGTGAAAGTGCGGTGCACCATGAGCCTTGCATGCGCATGATCCTGATGAACGTGATAACCAGAGACCATTTTTCGCGAAGTTTTTTCGTGACTTTAGATCACATGAAGACATCTCCTTGTGAACGCGTTAACTTGACCGCCCTATAATAGGGTGCCTCTAGTAACACAGTGTCTGCATTGAAGGTCTACCAAGGAAATCTGCGTGGAGTCCTTTCGAAATAGTATGGCTACTTCTGGCGTGAGGTATTCTACCAAAGAAAAAGTAGACGTGGTCATTGCAATGACTGTGATGATTGGCAACGCTTCATTCGCAATGGAGATTTATGCGTCTCGCCACCCACACCGTCCCTTTCCAACAAGTCCCACTTTCATATACCTATTTGTACGCATTGGCACAACAGGCTCTGTCCACCTTCCTAGACGGATCACGAAGGCAATCGTCGATGAAGACACTGATATCGACGTTGTCACGTGCGTAATCTCGATGCCAGAGCTCGGCATCCGACAGATATCGGATCCGTGTGCGCAGCATCGAAACAGTCGCAAATGTTCCAATAAAGCACAAGTTCCATCCAAAGCACGTTAACCTTCATCAGGACCTAAATAAGGCGGACATTGAAGGGTGATTTGACATCTGCGATTGGGGCCCCATCAAAATTGATCAAGAAAATGACTTTTAGCGCAGAATAATATGGGCTGCATGAAGCTATGTTTTGTCGAAATTGAAATGTTGTTCTTCTCAACGCCCGTTATTGGGCACAAGAAAACCCACACTGGCTGAGGCAGCACAATCATCAAGTTATGAAGTGAATGTGAGGTGTGGCATACTCGGGGACAGGATCATAGGACCTCACTTTTTTGAGGACAACTCCAACGGAAATATGTACACAGAAGAAGAATATTGGGCGTTGTCATTGAAGACCTTGTCTGAAGTCTTTTCCTGATTGACCTGCGCCAAGTATGGTTTCAGCGCGATGGAGCACCACCACATTTTTTTCTACCAGGGTAAAGAAATGTTTGGACACACGTTTTTTACAACAGTGGATTGGGCACGCAGGAGTGATGTTTGGCCACCAAGATCTCCTGACCTTTATCCACTCGACTTTTTTTCATTTGGGGCTACATTAATCATCGAGTTTACGTAACAGAGTCCAGCAATGTTAAGGACATGAAGGACAGAATAACATCGGCTGGTGCGAATATTCCTGCAGAAGTAGTGCGCCGAGTCATCGAGGCGACGCTTAAGTGGTCCACTTTTTGCGTTGCTGCCGAAGGCAGACATTTTGAACATTTTTGAGGCATTGGTGTGTTGAGAGGTGGAAAGTTTCGACGAGATTTGTGCATGACCGAAATAAGCTTATGTAGCAGCTTAGGCACATCAGCCGTACAAAGCGCGAGCTTCTCCCCCCCCCCCCTCGCCCCCACTGAGAAACGTTGGGGCGGCTGAGCCTCCCCCCCCCCCTTTCGACAGTGGTCACTGTTGGCTGCACGCTGGGGAAACCAACAAGGTAGGCGAACTTTTCTGTCGGAACAGTTTTCACTCCATTGTGTTCTTACGGGAGAATGAAAATGTTACGAGGCAATGTTACAACATAGTGAAATTTTGCCAACATTTCCTCTGTTATGACTTTTCTTGTGGGCTCTTTGCAATGTGGTTAGCCTATGCGATTATTTCACGTCTTTTGAAGTAGTATTGCAGAGCAGCCAAGCGCTGAACAGGGGCCCTATAATAGTACATCATTTGCTGATACGTTTATTCTGCAGTGACTTGAACTTATGGGTAGGAACAAGCAAACTTTTCAAAGACCGATCGAAGGCTTTGCTGCTTCCGGAAAATAATGTTCTTCAAAACGGCGATATCATCACCGATGCTCTGTCAAAACTGTTGCGAGCCGAAGAGTGCGACGAATCATTTTTGATGTTTAAGTTTTCCGTACTGAACCACCAAATATTGTTTTCGCTTTAGTCTGACAAACCTAATCAGCCTTGTTTATGGTAACTTGGAGCCATACCGGCAGCTTGCAAAGTGGCCAGGAATAAAGCAATGGACTCGAGCTCAGTATGAACCTCGGCTTTTGAGCTTTTTCCACAACATAACACACCGGACCATGGAGAAGGAGGAAGACCGTGATTTTTAGCTCTATGGAGGGCAAGTTAAGAGTCGCGCTAGTTGGTTTTCACTCAAATTTGTCTTTTGCAGCTCAATCCATCTCGAACAGC